AGAGGAAGTTTATAGAGCAAAATCATCAATATGTTGCTTATTCCTCAGGAAGGTATATAGGCCTGCTTATTCCATCTCTATCTTGAGATAGATCTATCTATGTTGCTTTCAGGTTGCAGCAATTTTTGTGAAATTCCATAATATTTGTGAATTTGAAGATTTGCAAAAATCTTTAGAATGTCAAGGATCTATTATATTCCTTACAATGTAATTTTTTCTCCCAGCACTGGGGATCAAACCTAGGGCTTTTTTAGTTTGTTTGTTTGTTTTTTTTTTTTTTTGTTATTGTTTGTTTGTTTGGTCTTTTGGTCTTCTTGAGATAGGGTCTTGCTTTGCAGTTCAGGCTGGCCTTGGGCTCACTTTGTAGCCCAAGCTGGTCTAGAATTTGCAACAATCCAATCCTCCTGCCTCAGCCTCCTGAGTCCTGGGATTATAGCCATGCGCCATCACTGATCCGGCCTGCAGATCAATCTGTGGGGTGTACCTGGAGGTGGAACGGGGATTAAATAAAGACATAGGGGAGACAAAGAGAGATGGAAGCAAGTCAAGAGAATCCAATCAAGCCCCCAGTTTATTCCGGAAGTGATTACATCTTTTATAGGCCAAGGGCAGGAGGTGGAACAGGAAGAGGCTATGGGGATGAATACAACAGGGTCACCGTCACGTCCAGGTATGTGACGTAAGCAGGAAAGGATTATGGTTAATGTAGGCAGACACAGTGCCCATAGGGGGGAGAGAGGCAGGGAGGCAGCAATGGGGCTGTCGCTTGGCTTCCTACACATCACTCCTGGCTGAACCTAAGGCTTTTGTATCGAGCTATCTCCTTGTCGTATGTGTGTATGTGAGAGACGAGGTCTTGCTAAGTTGCCCAATCTGGGCTCACATATTTGGAATCCTTCTACCCCAGCCTCAAGGATGCTGGGATTACAAGCATGTGCCATAAATCCTGATAAAAATTGAATTTTGAATTTTATATGTATGTATTTATATGTTCAAAACTACAAAGCTCCATCAGGCTTATTATACACACAGCAGTCCCCTGTGCTGTCCTTTTTCCTCCAGACTCTCACTCCTCAGAAGCAACTACATTTAGTTGTTCAGATGCTTCTTCCATCAGTGACTTCTGTATTTCTAAATAATACATACTTAACCATTTTTCAGATGACCTGTGTCTGACCATATTTCGTTACTAACCGGACAGCTGAGGATGAACTTTATTGCACCACCTCTGCTCTGCCCTCCCTCTCATACAAATGATCCTCCTATTGCTCTCCAAATAGTGCAGATTTGGCTCTGTGTTCATATTATTGTGACTGTTGTCCACAAATGAACCACATGGTATGGAATAACTAAGCCACTTCTTATTTCTCCTGGAACTAATCATTGGCTCATTTGAAATTTTTCTTTTTTTTTTTTTAAGTGACATATATTCTCACTGATGGAATTGATAAAAACTCAGCACTCTGGACTGTACGGATCAGGTGATTTATCCACCCAGCCACACCCCCTTGGAGATTCCGTCTTTGTCTTCTTGCTTCAAAGCTGGACCCACAGCCTAGGTTTTAATCTTGGGCTTTATTATTACGTGTAGATTCTCTTTCTCCATCTTCATGGTGGGTCCCCCTTTCCTACACTATTTCCTTTCGTTGGTTTATTTTCAGCTTGCTTAAGCATGTCTCTTAGTAACTTCCTAAGATATGAGAGGTAAACATTTGGGTTCCTGCTAGAAAATGCTTTCATTTACCCTCACAAGGTTGGCTAGCTGTGGAATTCTAAGCTGGAGTTAAGTTTCTTGGAGAATTTTGAAGGCATTTTCATCTCCTGGCTTTCATTATTGCTTTGGAGAAACCTGATGTAAGTTTTATTCCTGCCCCCTCCTTCCTCAGTCTCCAGAAGCCTTAATCCCAGCGATCTAAAATGTCACTGTGATGCGCTACCCCTGTTGGTGTGGTGGATCTTACTAATTATTTCTCCCTTTTGTTTTCTGTCTTTTGTCCTTTTGTCCTTGGCCTCATTAGTCTCCTTTTTTATTCAGTCACTTTATCTCTCCTTTGTCTTGTCTGTGTGATTTCCTCAACCATCCTCTTCCAACTGTTCTATTAACTTTTCTACTAATAATTAACTTATTCCCCAAATATTTCTCTTTAAAAACTGTATTGTTTCATTGCTTGTAATAATAATGAGGATGTAGTAATAGATTTCCCACTTAGTTTTCTTTTTTCTTCTTTCTTCTCCTGCCTTGTTTGTTCCTTCCAAACGCGACCCCTTCAGTATTTTGTCTTGGGTTAGGGGTTTTTTCCCTCTACTTTGTTGTTGCTCTTTAATGTTCGTATTTGAAGGCAGAGCAGTGACTGATGGGAGGCGGAGTGATGGGTGGTTTTGGAGGGCCAGTGGGGTTCACTGTATAGGCATTGGATGGGACCCAGGTATTCTTGGAAGATTCCCCACGAACAGTCCCCCAGAGGGAATCTCGGCCACCTTCTTGGGAGGTAGGAGCCCCGCGGCTGCTCTGGAGTTGAGTGGTGGAAGGAGTGAGCGGTGGTTCGTCTGTACCTGCAGGCTTTCAGCTTTAGCTTTCTGTGTGGTGGCCAGACCCAGCCCCTCCCTGCTGCCCTGAATAGGGAGTCTCTGGTTCAGCCCCAGCCCCGACTTTTTACACTCCCGACCTGCACTACTTTAAAAAGGAGGAGCCCCCCTTATCTCCCTGTGCACCTTGTTCTTTTCCTATCATACATAGCATTTATAACATTTTGTTAATTTATTGTATCCTCTGAGGGATTGGATGTCTTTGGTTTTTGTTGTTGTTATTTTATGGTACTGGGAGTTGAACCCCCAGAAGTTTTGCTCTTAAGCCACATCCCCAACCCTTTTTGTTTTGTTTTTGAGACAGCGTTTTGCTTTGAAGTTTGGGCTAGCCTTGAACTGGCTGTATAGTCCAGGTTGGCCTCAAACTTGGAACAGTATTGGCATGTGTTACTATGGCTGGCCCAATCCACTTTTTTTTTTTTTTTTTTTTTTTGAGACAAGGTTCACTATGTAGTTCAGGCTGGCCTTGAGCTCACTTTGTCGCCCAGGCTGGTCTCAAACTCACAAGGATCCTCCTGCCTCCGCCACCCAGAGTGCTGGGATTACAGGCCTGTGCTAGCAGGTCTGGCTTTAATCTATCATGTTGGTCATTCTGTCCCAAGTGCCTGTGCACACTGGATGTTCAGTCTGTTTGCACTGTGGCAGTAAGCTATTAGATTCAGCCTAACTATCCCAGAAACCAGTTTCCTTCTTTACAAAGGGAGTGAGGTACATTTGAGCTCTGTGTTGTGCTCAGCTACACAGCCTGTGAACAGAGGCCCCAAAAAGTGACTCTCTTTTGTAACCATGTATGACAAGGGGCTGTCCCCAGTGCTAGTCAAGGGTAAGCACTTTGGATCAGTTATCCACACAACTATCCTAGATAATGTAGCCTTTTCTTGGATCAGAAAATAACCAACTTTTTATTTCTAGTGAGTCCAGAAAGTATAAATGTATCTGCATTTATTGGCTTCAAACTCAGCACTAGAGAGCCATGTAGAATCTTTCCTTTTTAAAAATGACTTGTTATGAAAAAATTTTAAATATATAATTTGTGAAGCAAATCGTAAAATCACAATTTCATCTGTAAATGACATCTCTTTAAAAAATACTCTTTAAAAAAACCACCATATATACACCTAAGGGGGAAAAAATGAACAATTCCTTAGTATCCTCAAAGATATAGATGATATTCTGAGTGGTCAGGTTAGATGGCCTTGTAGAATCCCCACAGTTCAAAACTGGACTATGAAAGAAAATGGCTTTGAACAAGCTCCTTCATCTCTTGTTTTCCTTTTCTATTATTTTAAAAATTGAAGTATAGCTTATTGGAGTTGCTTGAGATGTAATGTACTTGCTATAAAATTTAGGTGTATATTCATATATTTTTAGTGAATTTGTGAGTTGTACTCCTGTGACCACAGTCAGACTTTAGATTATTTCCATCACACTTCCAAAATCATTCTACATTTATGTTCATTCCTGGGAAGCGTTAATACGCTCATTCAGCCGCATGTAAGTGGAAATCTTTCTTTGGCTCTGCAGGTTACCTTTCCTGAGTGCCTAATATATTCACTGTACTGAACAGACTCTCAGCCAGCTGTCCTTAGACTTACTTTCAGTTAAGCTACCAGCTCATGAAACTTTGGGGAAAGGGTCCCTTTGTCCGTGTTGTCTTACTCACGAGGAGTTGGCATTTTGGTCTGCTAACTTTGCATTCATTTACCTACTCCCCAGCTTCCAAAAATGCTTTGATGTCTTCTTTCACATTCTGTTTTTTTGGGGGGCTTATACCTTTAAGAGTTTTTGACAATTTATTCCTTTAAGACAAAAAGAAAAGTGTATTTTTAATCGGTTTACAAGAATGACTAGGTACTAATGTACACATGTAACTACAATATCAGTGACTAGAAAATTCCCTTTTAACTAATCAAGGTTTCTAAGACTGGAATGTCTATAGACAGTAATTCCCTGTCCTCAGGGATTGCAGAATGCCAACAGACTTCCGTGGCAGAGATCTGGCTTCACCGCACATCAAGCTTTTTTTTTTTTTTTTTTTTTTGGTCTTTTTCTTTTTATCCGTACCGGGGATTGAACTCACAAGTGCCTGCTTGCAAGGCAGGCGCTTATGCCGCTGAGCTAAATCCCAGCCTCCCATCAGGCTTTTTTGACACCAACCCTCATTGTAAAGAGCTCACAGGACTTTGAAGGGAGGCTGTAAAGAAGCGATGTGTGTGTTGCACGCTCTTAGGGGTGAAAGCTAAATCTTCCTTTTGCTCGCAAGTTCGTGTGTGTGCTCCTCATCCACAATCACAAGCTTGAACAGGACTAGGCTTGGCCGTTCAGATTTTTTCCCATCATTCCTTTTACGTTTTGACTTTGACTTAAACTTTTCTAAGCCTTCACACTTTTTTTTTTTTTTTTCTTTCTCGTAGGATCATGGATTTTCCTGGTCATTTTGAGCAGATTTTTCAACAGCTGAACTACCAGAGACTTCACGGTCAGCTCTGCGATTGTGTCATTGTAGTGGGGAATAGGCATTTCAAAGCCCACCGCTCCGTGCTGGCCGCGTGCAGCACGCATTTCCGAGCCCTGTTCTCGGTGGCAGAAGGCGATCAGAGCATGAACATGATCCAGCTCGACAGCGAAGTGGTGACTGCAGAGGCCTTTGCCGCACTGATTGACATGATGTATACCTCCACCCTCATGCTGGGAGAGAGCAACGTTATGGACGTCCTACTGGCAGCCTCTCACCTGCACTTGAACTCTGTTGTTAAGGCGTGCAAGCATTACCTTACCACACGGACACTGCCCATGTCTCCCCCGAGCGAGCGCATACAGGAGCAGAGTGCCCGCATGCAGCGCTCCTTTATGCTGCAGCAGCTGGGGTTGAGCATCGTGAGCTCAGCCCTCAATTCCGGCCAGAGTGGCGAGGACCAGCCGGCCCCCATGAGCTCATCCCTGCGCAGTACCATGGACCAGCGGACACCCTTCCCCATGAGACGCCTTCACAAGCGCAAGCAGTCTGCGGAGGAGCGGGCCAGGCAGCGCCTGCGGCCCTCCGTGGATGAGTCTGCCATTCCAGATGTCACGCCAGAGAGCGGGCCTCCGGGGGTTCACTCCCGGGAGGAGTTCTTTTCACCAGACTCTCTGAAAATGGTAGACAATCCTAAACCTGATGGCATGGCCGACAACCAAGAAGACAGTGCTATGATGTTTGACCAGTCTTTTGGTGCCCAAGAAGATGCCCAGGTGCCCAGTCAGTCTGATAACACCGCCAGCAACATGGCACAATTGTCAATGGCCTCTCGCGCAACGCAGGTTGAGAGTGGTTTTGAGCAGGAAGCTGCAGCTGAGAAAAGTGGTTTCCAGTGCGAAAATGCTGAAGTTGGCCTTGGCGAGAAGGAGCACATGAGAGTGGTGGTGAAATCTGAGCCCCTGAGCTCGCCTGAGCCTCAGGATGAAGTGAGCGATGTGACCTCCCAGGCCGAAGGCAGCGAGTCTGTGGAAGTGGAAGGAGTTGTGGTCAGCGCCGAGAAGATCGACCTTAGCCCGGAGAGCAGTGATCGGAGTTTTTCAGATCCCCAGTCCAGCACAGATAGGGTAGGTGACATCCACATTCTGGAAGTCACAAATAACCTAGAACATAAGTCCACATTTAGCATTTCAAATTTTCTTAACAAGAGCAGAGGAAGCAACTTTAGTGCAAATCAGAACAATGATGATAACATCCCGAACACCACTAGCGACTGCCGGCTGGAGGGCGAGGCCCCGTACCTGCTTAGTCCAGAGGCGGGGCCTGCCCGCAGCTCTTCCTCTGCCCCTGGCTCCCATGTGGAGAACCCTTTCAGTGAGCCAGCCGACTCGCACTTCGTCAGGCCTGTGCAAGAGGTGATGGGCCTGCCCTGTGTGCAGGCATCAGGTTACCAGGGCGAGCAGTTTGGGATGGACTTCTCCAGGGCTGGTTTGGGACTCCACTCCTCCTTTTCCAGAGTAATGATGGGCTCCCCAAGAGGAGGAGCCAGTAACTTTCCATACTACCGACGCATAGCTCCCAAAATGCCAGTGGTAACTTCCGTCAGGAGTTCACAGATGCCAGAAAACTCTGCCAGTTCCCAGCTAATGATGAATGGGGCCACATCGTCATTTGAGAACAGCCATCCCTCCCAGCCTGGCCCTCCGCAGTTGACCAGGGCATCTGCTGATGTCCTGTCAAAGTGCAAGAAGGCCTTATCAGAGCACAATGTTTTGGTTGTAGAGGGAGCTCGCAAGTATGCCTGCAAAATCTGCTGCAAAACTTTCCTGACTTTGACAGACTGCAAGAAGCACATCCGTGTCCACACGGGTGAGAAGCCCTATGCCTGCCTGAAGTGCGGCAAGAGATTCAGTCAGTCCAGCCACCTGTATAAACACTCGAAAACCACCTGCCTGCGGTGGCAGAGCAGCAATCTGCCCAGCACCTTGCTCTGACTGTCCTCGTGAGACGGAGCTAGGGCCAGTCATGGGACTGAGACTAAAACCAACTTTTGGTGGGCTGTTCACGCCTTTAGGTTTGAGGCTTCAGCTGTCTGGTGGCTCTTGCAGATTTCAACAGTTACTAAGTGCAAACCGTCACCAGGCAGCGCGTGGCTCTGAGTGAGGCACACGCCTTGGGAATGAGATGCAGGATATCCCTGGAACTAAGTTCTTCCACAGGGCTGAGGAATGCAGTTATAGTTTGTAACTAATCTTGTTAAAAGTGGCACACTTGAAAAATGGAAGTGCAAAACAATTTTTTAGCAATTTTTATAAAGCTCTGTGAAGCATTTAATTAAATTTCCTATACCCCCAGTGGGAATGTTATATATGTGTACAGTGATGCAAAATGCACTTAAGTGTAACCAGTGGTGACTTGGTGCCTGTCTGAGAGGAAGACCCTTGAGGACATGCCTGTCTGCCACCAATGCTTTAAATTCTGAGCTAGATAGGCCTAGGCCTCAGAAAGTACTGTATTTTTTATTTTCATCCGAGTTGCAGTCACAGACACTGTGCTCTGATGGTGCTGACACTGGGTCCAGGCGAGCATTCTCTTGGACTAAATAGGTGTATATACTTTTGAGTCTGTTGAGTAGATGTTCTAACCTTTTTTTCCCTTCTGGTTTTAAAGACTAAAGTCATAAATGGAGTATGTACTTGTAGAAGGTGACAAGTAAGATATTGTTTCTGTATGTGCTGTTTTAGCAGAATTTTAACCGACTTGTGTTACCAATGTTACGGTTCCATGTTTGGAAGTCAGAAAAGAGCTAGTTGTTTGTCTTTGTTCTGATGATGTGGAGTCGTTCTGTGGCGCCTTCATGATCCACTGCCCTTTGCTCCATCAGACACTGAAGACCAGTTCAGTCTGACACCTTCCACCCAAGGACAAGCCTGGTTCCCACCATTTCTCCACGCCCCCCTTGTATGGCCTTTCTCCCTAATTACTGTTTTCAGTTACAAACTTACCAAAATAATGTCACCTGCCATGGGCTTTTATTACCAGTACATACTAGTCTTTAAAGTGCTATGCTGATAAAAGTACTATTCTTTAAATGTATATACTATTCTTTAAAAGTAACTTTTATTATTGCTTCTCCAACTCAATACTGAGGACTGAAAATTGTTTAAAATCCAAACATAGTAGCGTTCATGGATCAGTCTCTTCCAGCCTTTGTAAGGGATGCAGCAGCCCGCAGCACAGAAGTCGCCCAGTAGCATCTGAGACTGCAGGAGGCATCCGAGGCACTGGCCAGGGCCTCCTGCCTCACTTCCCTCACCCTATCTTGCTGTCCTGTGCTGTCAGGGCTGTTGGTGGCACCCCTTTTGGCCATCCCCCTGGCTCATGTGTACAGAGGAACAGCCCAGGTTCCTGTATCTCTGTAGAGTTCAGTTTAGGTTATGCACAAACATGGATTCATTTTGCTTTTTATACAGCTTTCTCAGAAATAACCACTGTGCATAATTCAGAGAATTTATTCAGTTCTTATGTTTAGGAAACTTTAAGTATGTGTAGTTTGAAACAAAAGTGTGTGACTTCTCTTAATCTAGTATGCACAGTACATGTGTGGATAAATCTAACGTTCATAGAAGCCTGGGCCTCTCCGAGGAGCCGATCCCAGGAGGAGAGCTCAACAAGGAGACTGCAGCTGCTGCTCTGGACAGATGTGGGGGACATTGGAGGACACATGGTCACTTGTGAAATTCATTTCCTTGTGGCTCACTGTCAGCTGCCCTGTCCTGTCCTGATCCATCCACCCTCACCTGGTTAGGGACTGGTGTCCTGGGAGGAGACTGACACTGGGAGTCCGGTGGGTCAGCCTGGGGAATGAGAGTGCCATCTGGGCCTAAGGCGAGGAGCCAGTGACACAGGCACGGCAGCGCTCCTTCCCTCCCATCTTTCAGAGGTGGAACCGGGAGCCTCTTTCTGACCCCCGCCTAGGCAGACGTGAACTTGTCTTTGGGGCCTGTGTCTAACACAGACCAGAGTCCTGCCTCTCCCCTGCTAGGTGGAAGCTGGAATCTCATCTACCTCTTAGTCAGTTTCTATGTGTGAGAAGCAACTTGTGGGCCAATGTCCTGGATCATCCTGTAGCACTTAAAAATTCCAAGGTTTCCTGGAAAACCAGGGGTCCTGTGATCTAGTTTCTACCTGGATTCCAACTGGTATTGAGGACCTAAAATATTAATTGGTTAGCCTTAATGATAGCCTGGCATAATCATAATCTTTTTGGGTAGTAACAGCAAAAAGTTCTGTCAGGGTACCTGTGTCAGTGGTGCTATGCTGGTTTAAATGAGATTTTGAAATAAACCGTTTGTCATATCCATGTCTCTAAATACATGTTCTTTTCTTTTCTCAGGTTGAAACAAAACAGGAAAGTACTATTGTATCCTCTGTTAGCTGATACAATCCTGTAACAGAAGATAAAGCCTCTGCTTCTAGTACTTTTTGAAACCAAGCTTCTGAGACAAAGATGCAGTCAGCAAATAACAATGGTTTCTTGTTCCCCTCCAGTTATTTATTCCTCTAGCTTTCCCCATCTTGTCCTGCCTTCGGGCTGTGGATGTGGGTGAGGTTGTGTTCTCAGTCACCCAGTTATCTTGGGAGCTGCTTGACCCTATGTGACACCGCTGTTGGCAGCCTCCTCTGCCAGTCTGGCCCACTGTGGGGAAGCTGACTGCTTTAGCACAGAGCAGGACTTTGGCAGTGGCCCCGCCGGTGGCCTGGCCTTAGGGAAGAGAAAGATGATGATTCGAAAGCTCTGATGTGGTGGCCCACACCTGTAACCCCAGTACTTGGGAGGCTGAGACAGAAGGCTTACAAGTGACAGGTCAGCCTGGGCTACACGCAGAGTCACAAGAGCCAAGGGAATTACAGAGCAAAATCCTATCTCAAGAAAGAAAAAGTGTAGGTAAAAATTAACTCTCAAGTCAAAACTACATGCCTCTGGCTATTCTCAACCCCAAGTGTTGACCCAACCTCCTCTTTTCTTCTAGTTAATGCTCCGTGCTCTTCATTTTCCTGATGGTCTAGGTAGGGGGTTGAAGCGCCCTAATGAACAAGGCTCCCCTTGTTCTGCCCTTGGTGACGGACATGGGAAGGAACTGGGCAAGTTGCTACAAGAGCTCAGCGTGAGGACCAGATGGGAAGCAGAGTCAGGCGGATCACAGAACGTCCCAAGTTCAAAACAGATGCTCTTTTTGTTAACTTCCTCCAGTTACAGGCTGAGGCAGTCTTAGAAAATTATTTAATGCAGAATTACAGGCTTTTGGCTCAGATGTGTCCAGCCACAGGTGCTGCAAAGCACATCGACCAGTACCCGTCTTCACTTGCACCATCAGGGCAGATCAGGCTTTCCCTCGGCTCCTACCTCTGGCGTGTCAGCAGGAGACCAGGGCCCTGGCTCTGGCCTGTGGGGTGGGCTGGCTACAGCTTGAGTTCACTGGGCATCGGCTGTCCTCGCAGGCCAGCCAGCAAGTTGTTACTTGCCAACAAGGACATAGCGTTGCGCGTCTTGTAAGTGGCACTGCCAATGTGGGGCAGAATCACTGCAAAGGAAAGGGAAGAGACACAGCTAAGACGATTGGTTCAAGACCTTAAACCTGTTAGCTGATACAATCCAGAAGTTTGGGTCCAGTCTGGGCAACTTAAGTGACTTAGCAAGACTGTCTCAAAATAAAAAATAAAAAGGGCTGAGATGTGACTCAGTGAGAAGGCCCATCAACTGGGCCCTTCTTACATGGCCTGGCTTTGCTAAGTAAGAGCAGGGATCCTGCCTCAGGGTGCCTACATTTGCCTTCCCTGCTTGGTTACTGTTAGCATCCCATTCCCCCAGGGCTGGGGCTTCAGAGAACAGCAGAGGGACCCCCAGCTCCTGAGCCTTCGACACTAGAGGGTATGAAAGGTTTGTACCTCCGCACAAGGATGACAGGGCTACGGGGGTCTCGATGGTGAAACCAGGTGCCACCTTAGCTTAGGAACTTGGTTCTAACCACCCACAGCCTGTACTCCAGATACTCCAGAATGGCTTCAGGTGAGATGTGACGGCACACATCTGTTAATTCCAGCACTCTGGGAGACTGAGACAGGAGAAACACAGGCCCCTGCAACGTAATGACAGCCTGAGACCCTGTCTCAAAAGGGGGGATGGATGGGATAGGGTGGGATGTAGTTCAGTGCACAGTTCCTGGGATCAAACCCCAGTGCTCTAAGAACAAAAGAATTTCAAGATAAAGTGTTGACAACAAGCTCCCCCACACTGTGCCCCACTGCAGGAAGGAAGCAGGGAGGGCACCCATCCCTACAGAGCCATCTTTGGAAGCATTATCCAGGGCACTAGCTGACTCGGCATGGGGTGCCAGTTTTCCCCAGTCAGTGTTCCTTGTAGGCTGGCATGGTTGCTAAGGGCTGCAATCGGAGAGCATTTGCTGGGCGGGCAGCCAAGGGCCTGTCTGGGTTTCCATTCTGGAGTGTGAATGGGCAGCCCCAGTTCTGACTGCTCGCACTAGAAATCCCACTCACACCTGGACAGAACCTGATGTAAGTAACAAGGGTGGAAAGCTGTTACACTGGTAGAGGCTGAGGTTCCCGAGTGATCCCCTGTGAGATGCACGTGACTGCTGACGACCTGCAGCCACGGCAGAAGCCCTCCATGGGGCCCGCAACCATGTGGCTCAGTCCCTCCAAGTGCCCAGGCAAAGAGAAGCGTAGGAACCAGTGAAGCATCTGCTGGTGGGATCCAAGGAAAGGCATTTGTTGTGTCAAGAGAGTAGCTTAGTGACTGGCAGAAGTGACAAATACTGGTATCGCCAAGACTTCTTTTTACACACTGAAAAGAGCAACAGATTTCAGCCGTGACTGGCACACCTTACATCTGGTGTAAGATGGAGGCCAGGTCCCCCTCTTAACAATTCCAGCCACCCTTCATTCTGTTCCTTTGGGACATGCCCAGAAGGATCCTTCCCGTCCTTAAGTACCAGGGTCACTAACAGACTGGGTGTGACCGTCTGGGCACAGCACTGCTCATGGAGCTTCCTGCCCACTCCCAGCACACACAGCACCAGGCTGCAGCGCAGTGAGGAGCGCACTGTAAAGGCAGCTCTTACCACAGTTCTTCAGGGTCAGCAGGGGGTGATCTGTAGGCAGCGGTTCTGGGGTCGTCACATCCAGCCCAGCTGCTGCAATCTGACCGCTGGCCAACGCCTGATACAGGTCATCCTGGTTTACAACATCTCCCCTGGAAACAGCGATGGTATGGGTGCCCCCTGTTCCCCCACAGGCCACTCTCAGGTCGGAACAACCCACAGAATAAATTTTTTCACTGAGTGAGCACTTGACCCTGCCATGTGTCTCAACTTCTCTGGGCCTCAGGCTCTCGCTCGGTAGAGAGGGCAAATACAACCTAACTCCCAGGAATGTTGGGAGGAGTAAAGCTCCCCGACACGCACTAGGGCATGAACAGGGCCCAGAAGCCGCACTTGTCTTGGGCTCCAGGCAGGTATCTCTGGCCTGCTGTACCCCTAGATCACAGCACGCCACTAAGCAAAAAGAAGCCTTACTGCATCCAATAAAATGAGCAGCCACTGAAGAGCTGATTTTCTAGACTTCATACTGAACATCATAAGACACTCATGTAACAAGGACTGCTACCATGCAGGCACTCGCAGGTAGTCAGCAAACAGAAACCGGACCTACCATCAGGCATTTGCGGAGCCCTGTGTTCCTGCACTGCTTACTCAGCCACCCCCAGGTCACTCCTGCACGGTTGAACACTGGTAATTTCAGGTCCCTTTAGGTATGCGCACCCTCAGGCTGACCTCACCCAAGGCCTTCTTCCAAATGATTTAAAGGTTCAGTGGCTATCACTAGGATGGCTAGGAAGGAGTTACAATGGCACAGAAGAGACATCTGACCCTACGGCTCAATGGCCTGCACACACTCCTGAACACACATTTTGGGGAACTAGGAAAACCTGAGCTTTAGGTCTGTCTGCCCAGGAGTACAAAGGTTCAAACCATCACTGAACTCAAACCAGGCTCACAGGATGGAAGGTTGGTCTCTACAGGGACACCTAGGTCAGAAAGTCCAGCTCTTTTTCTGGAGAGAAAAATGAGGCTCCCTTGTGACTCCCTGCCCATCAGGCCCTTCCCCAAGCCACACCACAGCGTGCCAGGCCTCCACTGAAGCTGGGCCTGCTGTGGGTGCCAGAGAGCCCAGGCTCTCCTCTGATCCGACTGCTCTTCTTCCTAACCCAGCTCTTGCCTCACCTCTGCTATACTGGTGAGTTGTTGGTCAATCAGTTATCTGCGGAGCCTAGCAGGCTCCGTCTAGGGTCTCCTCAATATTCCACCGTGAATCCTGTGACAGTGGGGACAGCCTTTCTCTAGGCTTGCTGGGTAACCCCAGGATATTGGGTGGCCCCTCGCTACCTGCTGATATTGACAAACACAGCTGTTTTCTTCATCTTCCGGAAGAAGTCCCCATTGCAGAGTCCCTTGGTTTCAGGCGTTAGGGAGCAGGCCACCACAATGAAGTCAGACTCTGCGGCCAGCTGGAGGGCAGACACTGTGGGTACAGGGAGAGGGTCTTCATCAGAGGTTAGGGACAGCAAGAGGGTAGAAACTAGATACTTCTTCCCCTACCCCAAGAAAAACTCCCAAGACCCTTTCTGAAGGTCTGGTCTCTACCTCAACAGCTCTGGTAAGGGTATGAAGTCAGCGGCCACTCACGGGGTCTTGGTGTATCACATCCTCCACCAGCCCAGACCAGCCCAAGCCCCTACACTCTGCCTGTGAACGCCATCACCTGAGAATCCCCCAGGTGAGCACAGGCAGGGCTCCTCTGGAAATCAAGGTTTTACTCACCAAACTCTGCCTGGAATTCTGCTGCTTCCTGAGGCTTGGGCTGACGCCCTGCATACAGAAACCTCTGGACACCAAATGGTTTCAGACGCCGAGCAATGGCCTGGCCTAGAGGTAAGAATCAGAGTCCTTGGTTTGTTCCCACCCTGTAGAAGATGGGGTGACAGCAACTCCAAGGACAGGGGGGCCTCAGGTAGATTCTTTGTTAGTATCGCCCTATGTTAACTGGTTCAGTCTTACTGCAGAACCCCCCTCCCTCCTTCTGTGGACCCAGACCCAGATTTGTGATGGCATCGGTCAACTGCCAACCTGCCCCAGACCTACAAGACATTTTCATTTAAGATACTAAGATAGGAATGGGCGGTTGGATCTTCAGGCTCAGAACATGACCCAGAATTGCTGGGCTCGTCCCAGTAAATCCCATGAGAGAAGCAGGACTGCTGGCTGGCCAGGCAGGTTATCCACACTTGCCACCTTAGCCTCGCCCCTGGCAGCTGTCCGGCTGAGCCTGAGCCTTTCTGTCACACTTCTCCAATGACCAGCCACTAGAAGCAAAAGAGGCTAGAGACACAAGCCAGTGGGGAGTAAAGAGTGCCCCGGGGTAACCACCCGCAGGCCCCGCCCCGCATCTGCAGCCTTCACTGCTCTTCATGGAGCTGAAATCCTAAGGAACTCTGGCTCCTAGCAACTGTTCCTCAGAGTCCCAAAGGCACTCCTGGTTTTATTTATCCCTTTGCCTGTGTTTCACAGCCTGTGGTTTACAAAGCTGTCTCGTCTCATTAGAAATATCTCTGCGGGCAGTGCCCTGCTGGCATAAGACAGAAGCAACCCTTCCAAAGCAGGATGTCCAGCATTGGGGTACATGGCACCAGGGTCTCAACCCAAGCCTGGAGGCCAAGACAGTAGGAGAGGATGGGGTCAGGGCATGGGGGGGCCTTACCTATGCGCCCCAGCCCCACAATGCCAACAGTGCTCTGCGTGAGTCCATAGCCACACATCCACAAGGGCTTCCAGGAGGTCCAGCCACCACTGTGGAGAGGAGGAGGGAGGCGGTCAGCACCTGGCCTCCGACGAAGACAAGGCCCACGGGTGACCGCCACACTTGCCCTCCTGCCCGTGGTCCAAGGTCTAACCCAGCTTCCAGGTCATGGAGCTGAAAGCGGAGTGAGCAACACCACAGCCAGCCAGCACTTTCCAAGTACGCAGCAAGGATGGCCACTGCTTTAAATCCACTTGGGACAAAGAAAGCAAGGGCTGCAAGAGGCCTCAGAGGCTCGCGTTCCTTCTGGAGATGAAGCAACTGAGACCACAAAGAGTAACCTGCCCGAGATGACCCGGCCACGGTGTTCAGGGCAGCAGGTTGCAAACTCAGGGCCTGGGATTCTAGAAAACGTTCTCAGAACTCCTCAGCAGCAACAAAAGTAAACCTCACTGCTTTCAGTGGTCAAGGGATGGAGCCGATCCTGAGCCACTAGCAGTGAAGGTGTAGAGGTCGCAGACAGGACCATGAGCAGAGCACCAGCACTGGGCCCCACACCCAGCCAGACTCCCGGCCTGCTTTCTGAGGCCGCCTCTGCTCACCCCGAAAATGTCACTGTCCCTGCTCCCTGCTCCCACATGGCCTGCCAACTACATATGCACCCTGAAACCCAGCGCTAGAGCCCTCAGGCCAGGCTGCTCGGCTCTGGTCCTGAGGAAGGCAGCACCCTGGTACTGTCTGGGTGGCACCCTGCTCCTGCCACTGAGGAGCCATGATGGCCTTACTGAGGTTGGCACCTAGAGACTTAGCTCTCAAAAGGACTAGGAAATGACGGCCAGCCCTCAGTGATTTCCGATTTTGGCACCACTGGTCTCAGAATCGTCCTCAGTACCCAAGGGGATGTCCTTCCTCCTTCCAAGAAGCAGTCCCCAATCTGCCTTCCTCCCCCCACCCCAGTTAGTAGACTTTATTTGTTCCATTCTTATAATTATCTCTCATGACTTCCCATCCCGTTCTGTTTGCTGAAGTTCAGCGCAGGGCTTTAATTATTTTAGCTGGGTCAGGCTGACCCCTCTGCTCAGGTCCCACCAGGGAACACTCACTTCTTCACTTCCTCTATGGCCTCTGGCAACCTGCGGCAGGTGGTAAGAAGCAAGGAGACAGCCAGCTCCGCGGTGGCATCTGTCAGGACATCTGGGGTGTAGCCCACACGGATCCCACTAGAAATCAAACAGCTGGTGGTAACGTGGCCTCATGCACCTTCACCAGTGTTTACAGGTGTCTGTTCCATGATGTGACTTTGCTCCTTAGTTTCTTTGCCTGCCAGGAAGCTCAAAGCTTTAAAGGAGTACTGAGGAGTGCTTAGTCCTTGTTCACATTTTGATTATGTCTCACTCTGGGAAGGCTATGGAATTCAAGATTAGAGTTCAAGGTCTGGGGCAAGTACTATTTAAATCACTCTGAATTTTCTCATCAGAAAAGGAAACAATACGTGTATCTTTTTCCAAAGTTATTTTAGGGATCAAAAAAGATAATGAATGTGAAAGGATGATACTAGATAAGAGGTTACAGTTTCCAGCTTTGTAGGTTTGTGGTGATACCATGTAATATATGATATTAAATATTATTATTATTATATATGTAATGGGCCTAAAGTTGCAGTTTTCCTGTGTGGCTTCCCAGTGCGCTGGGATTACAGGCATGTGGACCCATACCCTTCTAATTTTTATTCTGAGACAGGTCAGTTGCCCAGACTAACCTTAACCTTCAATCTCCCTGCCTCAGCCTCCTGAATGGCTGGGATTGTACCTCAGGCATGCACCACATCCAGCCCAGGTTTGTTTGAGCTGCTTTGTGTACATGTGGATGGACTTCCATCAGCCACTTCACATCCTTACTGAGGGAGACAGAGTGAAAACAAGCAGCTCTCCTCTGCGCCATCTGGGCACTGCCCCTCACGCTAGGCCAGCCCAGAGCTCAGTTCCATTTACCGCTTCTTGATTTCATCCAAAGCTAAGTGGTCAACTCCCACGGACATCGTGCTGATAACTCTGAGATTAGGTCCTGTGGTACAGAAAACACATTGTTTGTGTCTCTTCTCTTGTAATTCAAACCCACGACACTGGGGACTATCCTAACCCGCCTGTTATTATTTTCTTAGAATTTCCCTTCTGCAGGTAAAACTCCAGACAACCCTCTTTTGCCATCCACAGACAGCGTCTCAGCAATATTAGGTGTCCTGGCACAGTCCAAAGCACAGTCAGGTCCCCTTGTTTGGCACTGGACTTAGGCACTGGCCTGCTCACTGGTGAGGCCTGGGTCTCCTTCAGCCACACCTGAGGTCTCCCGTGGACGCCTCAGAGAGCACTGAGACTGAGATGGTGGCAGGGCATGACCCTCTCATACCCTCTCCTTCACTAGAAAGATCCAGGGGTGCCTTAACTCTGACTCAAGGCTTCTCTCCACAATCAGCAGCCCCTGAATCTAAACCTTTACTCCAAACCATCAGGTTACAACATCATGGGGTGATGTTTGCCCTGTGCCAGGCTGAGAGCCTGGGCTTGGGCTATACTTGGTGCCAGCTGGTACGGGGCACTGAGTTGAGGCCTCCCTCCTGCTACGCAGGGGCCCAGAAAAGACAAGTTTTGATCTAGGTCACAAAGCAAAATTGTGGCTCCAGGGTCTTGGCTGCCCTCCCCTACACCCTTTCCACTGAGTCCACACAGGGTCTTTGCCCTCCTGAGGCTTCTCTCAGGAACTCAGTGGAAAGAGGTGGAGGGCAACCTACAAGCCACATAAAGATGCAGGCAACCTCCCACCCCTGCAGGAGACACCCTCAGAACGCAGAGAAAGGACTGCACCCTGACTATGGGGCAGCTGTCACAGGCTGATGTGCTCAAGGCTGAGACCCTGAGATTCTTCCCCAGGCTGACCCACCACACACACACCTGCAGCATCCAGGACCTTCTTATCCACACGGTCAGAGAGGAAGCAGAGCAGACCATGGGCTCCTGCCACACGGTGCTCCAGCTCCTTTCTGGAGATGGGCTCATCGGAATCCCACAGCTCCACTTCACAGCTGAAAAACGAAGGTCACCGAGGAAATGAAGGGGAGCCCTACGGATGCCTGAGTCCTCTGAGAGCTGGCAAGCACTACTTTTACTCCCTGGCCTGCAGCTGACTGGGGCCAGTCAGCATCTGACATGGGTGGCCTCAGTAGGGTTCAGAGAGAGGGGCAGGGAGGGGTATGATGGCCTATCAAATCCCACTTTGTTGGGACTGGCTGCTGAGGCTGGATCCCACCTTCTCCATGCCAGATGAGCAAACCTGATAAAATGCATTGTTCCCACTGCAACTAGTACCTGCTGAGCAGCAAACCTCAGCTCTGCCACCTGGAGTTGTGCAACACTGGGTGGAGGAGATACTTATTCCCTCCAGCCTGATTTGGGTCAGTGAAAAGAGAATTATAACACTGACTTCCCAGGGCTGCAAGGATTAAGTTTATGCATGTGATGTACCTGACAAGGTTGGTGCAAAAGGCTTCCACTTTGTGAGTCATCAGAGGCCCTGGCCAACCACTGAGGGGACCAGGCTAGTGACATGTAGACACTGACCTCATCTGCCCTGTCAGCCAACATCCAAGGTAAAGAATAACAGCCTGGACTTTGCTTCATGGTTAATCTCTCCTCTCTGAAGGCAGTGGCAACAACCAGGTTCCCTCCTACAGGCCGAGGGCCAGGACCTGGAGTTATGGCCAGGAGCCTGATGGGACCTGGATCCTACACTACTTTGTTCATGCCTCCTCAGACTCCAAGCCAGATGCCACTGGACACAGCTGCCCTAGTTCCAGGCTGTCTCTCTGACCTCTGGTAACCCCCACCCGCCGCGCAGCTCCGGACGCCCCCAAAGCCCGCCTGGAGATCGCTGAGTCACCCTGCGCAAAGTGAGGTTTTGTGGCGGGCACCCGTCAGGGTGGCCCGGGGAAGGGTGCTGAGGGCTCCGCGCCGGCTCAGAGACACCATGTGTGCCCGTCGCGGAGTGGGCTGGGACTCGGTGCGCGGAGTGGCGGCGGCGCGCGGCTCTTACTCTGCAGCCTGGGCGAGCTCGGCCCTGCCTTCGGGGGGGATCCTGCCGGTGACGAACACCTTCATGAGTCGAGCTAGTCTCATCAACCTGCAGCCTCTGGAGTCTGACCGAGCCGGCCAGAAGGGCAAAGCAGGAATCTGCCAGGCCTCGGAGGCGGGGCGTGCGAGGGGCGGGGCGAAGGCGTGCGCGTGATGGGGCGGGGCTGCGCGGGGCGGGCTCTGCGCGGGGCGTGGTCCCTACCCCTAGGCTGTGGGCGGGCGGTCTGTGTCCCGCGAGTTAGGGTGGCTGTGTGTTTTCGCTGGATGTGAGTGTGAGGCTCATTATGCATCTGTGCGTGCCTTGCGGCCCTAATAGCACAGACTGATTAGGGAGGGACAGGGCTGCATGTGGACACCTGCTGTCCCGAGGTTCCAAGGCTACAGGCTGTCTTAGGTTTGAAGTGGTGGGAAGCACCCAGACAGGCGACCTGTGTGTCTATGGTTGTCCTTGTCCCTGTGAAGTCTGTCAGAACGCGAGGGGGAGTGAAGATGCCCCCCCCGACGCTAAGGTGGGGTCCATCCTGGTCATTCATACTGAGTTCTGAGCCCCTCGGGATGTAGACACAGCCCTCCCTCAGGGGAGACTGCAGAGGAGTCGGCATCCAGCAATGACCCTTTAATATTTGGGACACTTCCCTATATAAAACCGACAGCTGTGAAGGGGAGTCTAACTGGCCAGGTCACCCAGCTCGCTGGAGGACCACTACACCTGCTGGAGGCAGTTCACGCATAGCACCAGGGCCATGCATGTGGGGTGGTGGTGGGCAGGCCCGGGCTCGCAGTGGGGTGGGCTGCGGTCTAAAGCCGGCTCTGTTTTCTAAGCTGTTTGACCTTGGGGAGGCCTTCATCTCCCTAGCCCTTAGTTCTTCAGTCACAAAATGGAGAGAACACAATTGAGGGTTGGTGTTAAAGCAGACAGCGTTTGCATGGGCTTCAGGCAGTGGCAGGTGCTGCTTAAGCACTGAGACTGTGAAAGAGGGGTGAGGAGCTCAGGATTTGGAGCCTGGCTGCCTATATCGAAATCACAGCGCTGTGACCAATGAAAAATTACTGTATTACGCACATCAGCTTCTTTATCTGTAGGATGACAGTGAAACCATTGCAACAAGCCTCCAGGCTGGTGGAGAGACGAACTATAATCAGTGTTTCTTACAGCACAACACATACAGTGGGCAGCAGAATGGTCTCCTTCGATTTTATAAGAATCCACAGTGCCCCATGAGACTCCCGATGAGAGAATTGAAAGATGCACAGGAAAGTGACCTTACCAGGTGAGGATCCCGCAGCAAGTCCCTGGGCCTTCTGCATCCCTGCCAGAGCTTCTGTCTGTCTCCTCCCTGTCTCAGGTAACACTTGAATAAATATCTTACCCACTAATCTTTATCTGTGTTGCTAGGCCTCTGAGGGAGAAATTTTTGAAATATATCAAACATTGACACAAAAAAGTGTTTTTCTGTTCCCAGGCCAGGCCCTCTGGGGAACAGCATGACCTGTAGCTCTACTCTGCTAACCTCTGGAGCTCAGCTCCTTCCTCACTTTATTAAGGACAGCCAAGGGCACTGGGCACTGGACAGGCCTGTTCACTAAGGGTAGGAGGGAGCACAACAGTTAATGGGTCTCTTCCCACAAGACAAAGCACACAGCTGATGCTCAGTAAGCCTGCTCAGGGACAGCCATGTGGCCAGATGTGGACCCAGCTGAGGGCTGATTCCATCATTCTTGCCTCCTTCTCAAGCAGTCCTGGAGGTCTTATTTTGTGTCTTTAGCTGGGTGGTTGTGGCTGTCTTGATGTTCCGAGATGATTGAAAATATTTACTTTCATGGTCATTTTGACTTTGAGGAAGAAACAGAAGTTGTAGTGGCAGATCCAGTGAAAAAGGAAGAGGATACACCGTAATTTTTTTTTTTAACTAGTATGTGTTTTGTTTTTTTGGAGACAAAGTCTCACTATGTACTTCCAACTGGGCTTGAACTCACTATGTAGCCCAGACTGGCCTCCGACTTGTGGAGATCCTCCTGCCTCCGCCTCTTGAGTGCTGGGATTACAGGTATATACCACTATGCCCATCCTCAGAGATACCCATTTTTGGCCTGGACCTTTAAATTTGAGGGATCTGATTTTTTCAACTTTGTTATATATTCTATACATTAGTCCTTTGAGGAACAATTGGCTAAAAAATTTCCCACTGTTAGATTGTCTCTTCTCTCTAATGATTTCTTTTATGGTGTAAAAGTTTTTTAATTTTATGTGCTTCCAGTTGTTGAATCTTTGTATTATTCCCTGTGCTATCAGAGTTTTGGTCATAAAGTTTTGCCTACACCTAATGTCTTCAAGAGTTTTACCTATTTTGTCTTTGAGCAGATTATTTCTATTTTTATACTTAAATATTTGACTCATTTTGATTTTTGTTAAGTGCTGCATGGTGAGAAATACAGGTTTAGGTTCAGTCTTCACCTTATGGAAAGTGGTTTCCACAGCACCATTTATTAAAAAGGCTGTCTTTCTTTCAGTGAAGGTGTTTGGCCCCTTTGTCAAATTAGGTAGTGGAATGCGCTAGAGTTGTTTCTGTATCGTCTATTCCATTGATCTTCAGGTCTCTGTTGGTTTTTGCTTTTGTTTCTTTTATTGTTTTGCCAGCACTGTACTGTTTTTATAAGGGTAGTTTTGTAATATAACTTCAAATTGGGGATTGTAATGCTCCCTGCTTTGTCCGTGTTGCTCGGAATTGTTTTTGCTATTCTAGGTCGCTTCTAGTTCCATATGAATTTTAGAAGTGTTTTCTCCAGTTCCATGAGTATACTGTTGGTATTTTGATTGAGATTGCATTAAATCTGCATATCAGTTTTGGAAGTTATGGCCATTTTGACTATATTGGTTCTGCCTACCCAAGAACAGGGTGTATCTTTCCATTTTCTGATATCCTCTTCAATCTCCTTTTTCAGAGTAGTATAGACTTTCACTTCCTTCATTAGATTGATTCCTAACTATTTTATTTTACTTGACACTATCATGAAAGATATTATTCTTCACATTTCTTTCTCAATGAGTTTGTTATTCACGTACAGGAATGCTGTTAAGTTTTTGAGTGTTGATACAATACAAGGTGATCTACAATGGTTACTATGATGTCTCTTGTTATCTTTAATAGAACTGTCTATATCATCAGGCATAGTAAAATTGAACATAGCAGTACATAACAATATCAATAAAAGCAAAACATTGGAGACATTATAGGACTTCAAAAGCAGGTAATAATCAAACCAGAATGGGTATCCTGGTGAATCTTGTCATCTTCAGAGTAGTTGCTTATACTCTCAGACTTGATACTATCAAACATAACAGATTCAAATAAAATCAGTCAAGAGAAAATAGTGATCTAACAGACCAGATTCAAATAAGATCAGTCATAATAAGACAGTGTAAGTAATACAGGGCTTCAGATTAAGTTAATAGAAAATTAAGGATAGTTACCGTAGTGTATCCTGCCATTTTTGAAAAAGCTGTCTGTGCCCTCAAATGTAGTACAAGTAGACAGACTAGAATAGAATATAATCAAACTAAAAAGAGCGGTGAGAATAATGTGGATTTTAAATCCTGATACACTATTAACAATGTCCTCTGCCTGCCTGTTTTAGACAATTCCTCCCCTTTCACTTTTATAGGGTGCATTGTACACTTTGGGTCCCACTAACACCTTTAGTTTTTAGGTTAGGGGGGCAACCCACTGTTTACCTAAGTGATTCTGAACCTTTTTACCCCTGAGCTTGATCTTAAGCTATATTCCTTTACCTACTAAATCCTCCAGGTTTTCCTTCCTTCTAGCTGAGTAGTTCTCCAATGCACAAAGGTGTCACTTCTTTTCAATCTACTTGCAGCTGCTGGACGAGCTGTCCTCATTTCTCTCTGGCTCCCTGTCACATAGAGCATTATTTTCTCATCTTTGATTTTCAGTCCATTAACTCTCTTTTAGGTTAATTATATTTCCTATACAGAGCATCTCTATGGACTGTAACTCCTGATCTACTCTGCCTGTGTTTCTTTTTGTTAGTGTATCAAGGCTATGTTAGCGATTATAGCCAACCTTGTGTGCCTCATCTCTGCTATGTTGTTTTGCTGCTGTTGATTGTCTATTTTTCCCCTTTATTCCACTGTCTGCCCCATTCATTGAGGCCTCTCTGCCACTGTTCCTGAAACCCTGGCATTTTTTTCTCTCTCTCTCTAGAATGTCCTTCAGTATTTCTTGTAGGATTGGATTGGTGGTCACGAACTCCCCCATTCCTCTTTGTCATGGAAGCATCTTGTTTCTCCATTAATTTTGAGAGACAGGTTTTCAGGATATATCAACCTGGGTTGGAGGTTATTTTCTTTCAGGGTTTGGACTACTTTGCTCCAAGCTTTTTGATTTGATGGCTTGTGTTGAGAAGTCTGTCACAATTCTGATGGATTTTCCTTTGTAAGGGATCTGTTTCTTTGCTCTGACAGCTTTTAATATTCTGTTCTTGTGTTGAATTTCTGAGATCTTGATTATTATATATCTGGGTATAGATCTGTTTTGGTTATAACTGGCTGGAGTTCTGTATGCCTCATTTATCTGGATATCATTTCCTTTTCCTGTGCTTGGGAAGTTTTCCTTAATTATTTCTGTGAATAGCCTTTGCATTTCATTTTTGTTTACCCCTGCTTCTTCACTCACATTTTTTATTCTTAAGTTATAGTTCTTCTTGTTATCTTCTAGCCTTTGTATTATTACTTCCTGGTTCCTTGTTATTTTTAAGAGATCTTTCTTTTCATGATCATATATTGTAAATCTGTCTTCAAGTTTTGATAAATCTGTCTTTAGTTTCTTTCACAGCTTTCAATGGAGTTTTTAATTTCCTGGTAATCTCTTTGAATTTGTTTCATGTATTCTAGACTTTTTTTATATTCTTCATCAAAAGTTTCCCTCCTTTTTGGGGTTCCTCCATTCTTCCATCTGTGTCTTCTTAAGAGATGCTTAGCATTTATTTTGTTATTCTTCTTATATCTTGCTTTACTTGTATTAGTCTCTCTGTTTTGAGTTCTTCTATAATGTTACGAAGATATTTCTTTATGTCAGCTGATGCTGTTTCCGATATTGCATGTTTGCTGCCCTTGATCCCTTCTGTGTTTACCTC